TCTAGGCAGGCATTTTGAAAGAAGGTAACAATAATAAAATGGTTATCTTTTTCTGTACATAGAGCCACTGTGCTTTTTTCTAAGTTTTATTTATTTTGCTTGTGAAATTACACTTAGCACAACAGTTGAACAGTTTGTAGGTGGACAGTTTAGTGACAGTGATTACATCCGTGGAGTTGGGCAACTGTTCTCACCCTCCTTTCCCCAGCTGCTCTTCTCATTAACATAAACACAGGCCCTCCCCGGCCCCCACCCACACCCATACCCAACGTCCTTGTGTTGTGGTCCAGTTGTTGTCATCAGTTTGATCCCATATTGTTAGTTCCTAAAAGATGGACATATGTTACTAGTTGAGCTAAACACACTTGGTTTTGAGGTGACTGCAGGGGGTATTTTGGGTTTAAAATATTATCTCAAGACTAGTTTCAGTCACCCAGCCTCCCGGGCTTCAGAGAGGCTAGAGTCCTTGGAAATAGGAAATTGTTCTCCATTTTCTTCCCGGTGAAAATTCTTTTATAGCATCTTTACTCAAAGTGTTAGTAGGCTGGCACTCTTTAGTTCCTTTGATCCCACTGCAGAGGAAACAGTTGTTCCTGCGGTTGGGTGGGGGGGTTGTCATTAGCCACCATTCCATATCCTTTATGGAGTCCTGGTGGTGTAGTGGTTACGAGTTGCACCGTGATCTGCATGGTTGCCTGTTCAAAACCACCGGCAGCTCCTCAGAAGAAAGTCTAGGCTATCTAATCCCGTAAACAGTTAAATCTAGCAAACCCAGGGGTTGGTATGAGAAGACAGCATCGACTCCATGGCAGTGAGTGTTTAGTCCATATCCTTGTGTTTCTGCATCTCCTCCTTCCTCTGGCAGTCCAGGGGAACCGAGACCAGTCACTGTGCCTGGAGTGGCAGTTTGTAAGCTTTTAAGAGCCCAGGCACTTTGCGATGAAGGAGGGAGTAGAACTGAAGCACTAGAAGTAGTTACTAGGCCAATTTAGCCGGGATGACCCATGAAACCATGACCCTAAACCTCCAGACCTCAGAACAGAATTTCATGGTGTGGTCTTAGCAGCCTCAGCAACTACTCATTTTTGGTTGTTGTAAATACATCCATCACATTTTTTTTTTTTGGCTAATACAACTTTTTTAGATATGTGTAATTTACTGGCAGCAATGACAATAAAAACTACCCTTAGGGTGGTTTTTGTATCATCATTAACCTCCTTTTCCCTTCCGCCTTGAACCTGGGAACCAATAAACTTTGGTCTCTGTACATTTAGTTTTTCTTTGTTCTGGATGTGAGGTCATTTGTCCTTTTGTGATTGGTTTAGCATAATGCCTTCCATTTCTATCTGTACTACAGCGTGAATCATCTTCCTTTCTCCTCCTGATTTGAGTGGCGTTCCATTGTGCACATGGACGACATTTTTATTCATTCACGTATTGAAGGCTTTTCTGCCTTCTGCCTATCATAAATAGCACTGCAGTGATCATTGGTGACCTCCTTTTGATCACCACAAGTCTCTTTTTGAGTCTTTGCTTTCAGTCTTTTACATGTATTCTTAGGAGTGGAATTGCTGGGTCATATGATAATTTTCTATTTATTTTTTTGATGAATGGCTACCATTTTTCACAAAAAACTACCATTTGTACATTTTCAGCAATGGATAAAAGTTCCAGTTTTCCTACATTCTTGCTAACTTGTCTTGTTTTCTGTGTTTTTTTGTTTGTTTAAATAGTGTTATTGCCATGTAATTAACATCAAACAATTTACCTGGTTCAATCATGTTAAGAAGAGCAGTGCAATCATCACCATAATCAAAGTCAGAATACTTTCTTTCTCATACTTCCTGGTGTTAGCTCCTCATTTATCCCCATTTACCTTCTTCCATGCCCCTAGGTAACAGTTAATTTAGTTACTGTCTCTATAGACTTACCTGTCCTGGATTTCTTATACAGAAAATCATACAAAACACAAACAAATGAACAGAACAAAAGATGACCAAAAAAAACAGGAAAACCTCAAAGAGAAAGGAGAAAATACTAAAAACTGAAACAACTTTAAAATGAGTCAAAAGGGAGATCAACTGATAAAGTGTTATATTTTAGCCTGACTACCTCTGCTGTAATATTCCTTACCATGCTCTCTGTCTGATAGCAAGGCTAGTCCTCCCTTGACTATGTTCAGGGAGGATTCTCGGGGCTTAATCCACATGGGGACCCTGCCCGTGGAT